GATCTTGGACGCTAGTCCTAGCCCTATGTCCACCTTAGCTTTCCTGACAGCTCCCTACAGGCCCGAGCAGAGGAGGTATACTCCTCTTTGGAGATAGCACCCCCCTTCCACTGGTTGTACACCACCTTTTTGGCAACCAGGCATTCCCGGACACACTTGGTGAGCCAGGGGGGCTTTCAGGCACTCCTGGCCCCCTTGCTTCTTGTTGGGATGGTCACCCCTTGGGCCCTGAGTATCATCTCCTTAAGGAACGACCAATCATCTTGGGCACTGAGCTCCCCTGCTCTTGAGAACCCCAGTGCCTTAGTGCTCTTTGACATAAAATCCTAAGATGCCTGAGCCCTCTCTGTCTTTGCTCATGGCACTGATTTTATCGCTGTCACTTGTTGCAGCTTTGCGTGATTTTCCTCCAGATACATGGAAGGTGTCTTTAGACAAGAGAATATTTTGTCTCAGAATTCCTTTGAAGAGCCTGTGCTCCTCTTCATGATTCCCCCAGAAGAGTTCGGAGCTGTTGCTGTGATAGGTGCTCATTTGGGTGGTGCCTATTGTTATTATTAGGAATTTTTCTTTTCCTCCTTTCTTGATTGACTCAGTGTCCTGAGATTTGCATCCCCAGTGCAGTCAGTTGAATAGGCTTCAGCTCCAGGACACACAGGAGGGGTCTGATCTGACCCATATCCTATGACTGTTGTCTTCCAGGTGCGTGACCCCCACCCAGAGGAGGTTCAGTCTCGTGCTGAGGAGCTGAGACCCAGAGGTGAAATGCTGCTATCATTAATTTCCTCTTTCAGATGAGGAAATACTTGCTGTATGGTGGGGAGCCACCTGTGGGCAGTGACAAATAACCTTCGTGTGGCTTGCTCACACTGACTGGTATTTCCTCAGTGAAAATGAGTGAGCTTTCTTGTGCAGTTGGTTCCTTTGAAGCACTTTTATTTGCTGTAGGTTAGTGTGATGCTGCTAGTGAATGTACGTACAGCTCTTTGAAGACACAAAGTGCGACTGAATTGCAAACTATGATTAACTTCATAAGATGCAGCTGGCATTTCCTGCCCTCTGGGAGGTGAGCTCAGCCGTTTGGACTGCTCGTTAGATTTGAGCAGCAGCAAAGCAGCCATGTATGACTTGGTCACTTAGTGATCAGGGTTAGTGTTCCCCTGCTTGGAGTTGCAGGCCCAGCTGCTTTGCTTGCTTAGCGTACAGCGACTCACAGTGACTTCAGAATGGATGCCCTGGTAGTTGTGGGTTACTTCCCCAGTCACTGGCATTTGCAGAATCCTGCTTGGTCTTTCCATTTGGAGACATTTTCCTGGAGAGCTGTGTTGCTGGAAGTGCGTGAGGCAAAGTCTTCTAAATCCACTGGAATTTCCCCTGGGTCTCCGGTGTCCATCTCGCCTAATTGGGTCTGAAGAAGGTCTGGAAGCTATTGCAGGCAGCTCCTCCTCCTCGGTGTGCTGCAGTCCTTGCACAAGATGTTTACAGGCCCTGTCAGATCACTACATGAGGGAATCTAATCTGTCTGCCGCTCCCCTTCTGAAGAACAGCACATCAAAGACATGACAGTGTGTTTGATGTGTCTGCTTGCCTCACGGAGTGCATGTAATGGATTAGCAGCAGCTGGAGGAGGAGTCTCCTGGCTCCCAACAGTTACACAAAAACAAGTCTCTTGGGGATCTTCAGTTTGTGTCTGCCATGCAGAAGACTGGGTTCGGGCACAGCAGAGCCCTGAGCACCCCACCTGTGGCAGCGAGCCTGGGGGCT